CGATCTGGGGTGTTGCAGCGAGAGGACGTCGTCGGTCGGAGGAGTTGGGAGAGGGGATATGGCGGACTATATGTTGGGTCTGAATTTGGATAAGGATGCACTTGGGATGCCAATGAAAATGCCAAGGTCTTCTAAGAGGCAAGGGGAGACCATCTGCAAAGGCCACAAGAACTATGATCTTATGCTCAATTTGCAGCTTGGGATCAGGTAGTTTGGATGATCAAATCCATTTTTTGTTCTCTTTTTTGTTGATCTCTTAACACAATCATTGCTGCAAACTTGTTTTTGGTTTTTGTTTTTGTTTCTTAAGTTCTCACTTTGATTATATAACAGAGCAAGCCCTGTTTTTCCCCTGTTCTGTTTTTTTGGTATATCATGACCATTGTTTTCTTTAACCATTAGTATGTATGTGTCTGTGAGGGTTGAACAGGCACTCGGTAGGAAGACCGGCCCCGATTGCGTCCCTCGACTTGAAGCCTTCGGCTTTTGATCCAAAGGAAAAGGTTTGGACCCGATTCCCTTCCGAAGGAAGCAAATACACTCCACCCCACCAGTCTGGTGAGTTCAAATGGAAGGACTATTGCCCTTTAGTTTTCAGGTACAATGCCAATTCTTTAATCTATAGCTTTGCTCTAGATTACTCCATTTCTTAGATTTGCACTTTAGAGAAAGATCAATTGTTTAGTACTTTAGAAAGAGGAACTGATTAGAATTCTCAATTCTATCAAATTTGACTTGTTTAACCAACCGGTTAGCAGTGTCTTGTTGCATTTTTTTTTTTTTTTTTTTTTTTTTTTTTTATGTTTCTTAGATTTGTTAATAGACATTTCCATCCATCTTCAGAACTCTGAGGAAATTGTTCAAGGTGGATCCAGCTGATTATATGCTGTCAATCTGTGGGAATGATGCGCTTCGAGAACTCTCGTCTCCTGGTAAAAGTGGTAGCTTCTTCTACTTGACGAATGACGACCGATACATGATAAAGACGATGAAGAAGTCAGAAGCAAAAGTGAGATTTTGTTTTCCTATACTATATTCCTTTTGAATCAATAACGGCTAATGTAATTTGGGAGAACTTGACCTCATTTTGCAGGTTTTGATAAGAATGCTCTCTGCTTATTATAATCATGTGAGAGCCTTTGAGACCACTTTGGTGACCAAATTCTATGGTCTTCATTGTGTTAAACTAACCGGGCCTATCCAGAAGAAGGTAAGCCGATGTTTTTTTGTGACACGAACTTTACTGATGACGAGAAACTGCTTGGGTGAGAATGTGTTTTAAATTCAATGGATGCTTCCTGTGTTTTAAACATAGGTAAGGTTCATCATCATGGGAAACCTTTTTTGCTCGGAATATTCCATTCACCGACGGTTCGACTTGAAAGGGTCGATTCTTGGACGCACGACAGATAAGGCTGAGAGTGAGATTGACGAGACAACCATCCTTAAGGACCTCGATCTTAACTTTGTGTTCCGACTGCAGAAATCGTGGTTTCAAGAGTTTTGCAGGTGCAACTATGCTTTAAAGGATTTCATGCTTTGAGAAGTTGTTTCTATTTTCTTGTCAAAAGATTGTATCGTCATCATAACTTGATTCACTAGTATATTTATAATCTTCATTTTGGCATTTGCGTTTGCGTGTGCGTCTCCGTTTGATGTTTGTGTATCGTCTTTCTTTTAGGCAAATCGATCGGGACTGCGAGTTTCTCGAACAAGAAAGAATTATGGATTATAGTCTTCTAGTTGGTCTTCACTTTAGGGAAACTTCAGCTGCTGGTGATTTGATACCTTCCGGGTCTCGCACGCCTACAGGTTTTTCTCCTCTCTTTTCCTCCGTCCATCATCTCTCTCTCACTAAATTATGAACTATCTCTCTTGCAGGCGGGCCCGAGAACGAAGTCGCTCCTCGTCTGTCTCGAGTCGACTTGGATCAGCTTTTCCTAGATCCATCCAGGTGAAATATAAATCTCTATTGATTGCAAACAGTTTGGCATTCTTCTTTTTGAATGAAGTGCTTGTTTGTACAAAGCCTTTGAACTACAACTTGGACAATTTTTGGTTTGTAGATGGTCGAGTATCAAATTGGGCGTAAACATGCCTGCTCGGGTCGAACGTACGATCAGAAGAAGCGATTGCGAGTTCCAACTGGTCGGAGAACCAACCGGAGAGTACTACGACGTGGTTATGTTCTTTGGCATCATTGACATACTTCAAGACTACGACATTAGCAAGAAGCTTGAGCATGCATACAAGTCCATCCAATACGATTCGACTTCGATATCAGCTGTCGACCCGAAGCAATACTCGAAGCGGTTTCGTGACTTCATATTTAATATCTTTGCCGAAGACGAGGCCGAACTTTAAAGGAAGAAAATCAACAAAATCTCTCATTCACATTCTTTCATTTGTTTTATAATATAGAGCAACAGATCATCATATCTTGATATGTTTTAGTAAATGAGAAGAAAATTGAAGCAATAGAATTCTGTTTATGTAACCCATTGCTGTAGTTTCATTACAATTACACACAGAAAAAAAAGTATAGTCATTGATTATTGGATACATATTTGGTATCAATTTGCAATTGTATATACAATTAATCTCTTCTTTCTTCATATTTTAATGCTAATTTACAATATTTATGAGATGCATTATTTTTATTTTTATTTTTTTTGTGTAAAGTTTAAGACATTTTATGCTTAAATTGAGCTGTGAGATTGGAATTGTTTAGAAGTGATTTTTTAAAAAATAAAAAATTGGTAGAGTTAAAATTTTAAACTGAGGTAGATGGTAACTAATAATTGAAAGTCTTACAATTTCTTTCTTAACAAAGATAGTTATAGAAATTCTAAAAACAGATTAAACAAAAAAAAAAAAAGGATTTATAGAACTTTTAGACTAAGCACTTAGTTTGCTTACCTTCTAATTTAATCACTTTAAAAAAAAATTTTTAAACCCTTTTTATATAAATAGCTTTAATTAAAATATTTTTGTGTTCGATTACATTTTCTTAAAATTGATTTTAGTTATTAATTTGTCTGGTTGTACTATATTTAAAAGTGACTCTACAAATGCTAAATTAACATAAAATGGTTTTTAATGATTCCACCGGGTTATTTTGGAATAAAGTGATTATTCAAAAAAATGATTATAAACAAATTTGATTAATTGTCACAAAAAAACTATAATTTTTTTTCTAAATATATACTTTTACCCTCTAAAACCATTTAGGAAGTTAATCCAAACACAACGTTAATGTGTGTCCATACTTTTTTTAATACAACAAGTAGAGAATAGAAATTCAAACTCATGAGCTCTTGGTTAGAGACATGTGCCAATTAGGAAGGATTATAAATATTTTTCTAAAAATTGGGGTAGTATTTGGTTAAGATTTTAATATCGGTAAATAATTTTTTTGACAAATTTCTATTATCAAAAATGATTTTGAGAATTTTACATGGAAAGTCCTTATATAATGAGTGTTAAATAATATTAAATATTTTGCCAAACTTGCTCAACAAGTATCTTCTTGGAGAATTGTGGCTACTATATTAAACACTTTATCTAAGTTCAAGTATGACAAAATTGTGGCCATTACATCGTACACTTTGTCCGAGGCCAAGATGTAGTAAAAGTGTGGCCATTAGATCTTACACTTTATCCAAGGTCAATATGTGGCAAATGTGTAACCACTAGATCTTACACTTAACTCAAAGTCAATATGTAGCAAGTTTGTGGCCGTAAAAATTTATTTGATGCACAAGTAAGCTTGAGTAATAAATACGTGGACATCCATAATTGACCATACATTCCAAATCTCAAATCCAAGTGAGCTAAAGTGTGAGGTTTAGTGAGGTAAAAATAGGGTTCATATGAGAAATTTTATTCTTTGTAGGAGATAAACTTTGTAACTCCTATATTTTCATTGAGTGGAAATTTTTTATCTTTGCCCGTGGTTTTTATCCTACTTTGTTTACGAGTTTTCCACGTAAAATCACTGTGTCTTATTTTTCCTCCTCTTCTTCATTGTTACTTATTCTCAATCTATTTTAACTGTGATGATCATCTTGCTCTATTCGGCCACATATCCTTATGAGTGCTTCAACTTTTTTTTTTGTTCAAAAGGCATATACCAAACCTACTCAATTAGTTTTCTTCCAAAAGTATTTATTAAAAAAAAATGTTTTACCATAAAATTCGAAGAATCGAAAGGTTAGGATCAGATTAGACTAAAAATTAAAATTTTATATTGAAAATTTTAAAGCTTCTTTTAGACCTGGAAGGTTTAAGAGCCTATTAAACATTTCCTTTAAGTGTACAAGGACCTAGACACAACCCTCATGGACTAAATTTAATAATTTTAACCTAATATCATAATACATATACAATAGTGAACTGTGACCAACCGATAAGGCGTTGGAATAATGGAGCTCCAACTTAGGGTTATGGGTGCATATTAGTTGGTCGATATTGGTTTTGGACTAACCGACACTGAAGGTCGATATATATGTGGTTCGCTTAAACCGACCAACCGACTATTAGGTGTGGATCAAGTTGGATTTGGTGCAATTATTTGACAATAGTGACTTGATTGAGTTGAGATAACTAAGCTGACAATGAATAAGATCGATAGTGATAGAGAGTAACAATGGCAAACTGATAATGGTCGAGAGGCGCAAAGATATGTTGTGAAGATGAGAGCAAGCGAGGCCAAGAAAGAAAGATGAAAATGAAATGGTTTGTGATCGTAGAAAGGAATGCATGAGCTATTCCGTGAGAGGATTGAATGTGGGAGGGATGAGATTTGAGCATTAAGGAGCCAAGTATATCGCTTTGATATAAAAAAATCTTAATTTTTCTTTTCCCCTGAGGTCACGTCAAAGATTTTGTTATGCTTAACGTACTCAAAGAATGTCAAAATTTTAGCGTAAAAAATTAAAATTTCTTTTAACTCTACATTTATGATTTATCTCATTTTTTTTTTATATTTTCCACGAGAATATAAAGTAATATAAAAATGCAACCCTCAACACGAAAATCATATGGGGTTGAGGATGAGACTGCATCTCTGTGAGATAATAGATAAATGATACTCGATTTGCAAATATTATATTCTTTTTAAAGCTTTTTTTAGAGACACGTAGAATTTTGATCGATCCTCCTTAATTATTTAATGAATCATTATTTTATATTATGGTGTTGGGTTCCAAAAGATTGACGCAACATTCATTATATGCTCGATAAATTAATTTTTCTTTAAAAACATGTTTAAAGAAAAAGTTTGGACATAAAAAATCAACCAAACGAAACATGACAACTATGGAACAATTTGATTAGGGATAAGACAAAAGGAACATATCTCTATAATTTAAGATATGATTGATTAATTTATTAGGTATTAGAGAGGGGAAAAACGTGTAGATTTCTATTCATATGGTTGATTATTTAATTAATCAATGTTTGAATTCAACCACAAGTTGTGAGAAATTAATCTTGTCAAAAATAAAATGTGGGAAATTAATGGGATTAAGGAGCAATAATTTTAATAGTAAGTTGACTTTTTTGGTCCTTCAAGAGCCTTTATTTTATTATGTTGAAGCCTAGTCCTTAAATTTTTATTTTGTTTTACCCCTTATTTTCCAATATTATTATATTCTAGTTCATGAAATTTTCATAAAAAAATATATTATAGACCTTGGCATAAGTTTTCAATTAAAAATTTAACATAAATTTGAATCAATTTGAAACTTAATTAATTAACATCCAATCTATTAGGCAAAACGAGCGTAGCACAACGGTAATTAATATATATCTCCAATCAAGAGGTTGTGAGTTCGATCTCACCCTCACATGTTATAACTAAAAAAACATATCCAACTTGATTATGTAGACATCCACTCAGTCTAATAAATGCACTTAAATGTTAAGTTTTTACGAAATAATTTATAGAAATATTGATGGCAAGATATTTTTAAATTAAAATTTTGTTTGGTACTTCAACTTTCAAAATATCAATTTTGTTCCCTACGATTTTAGTGTCGTTAGTTTGCTGTCAAATGGTCAACATGAGCATATATATAACTTAACAAAAAATGACATCTACTTATTCTCTTGAGGCTAGAGGTTCAAATCCATATGCCATACATTTTTTTTAGTTCAACATGTGGGGATGAAGTTCAAACCTTTAACATTTTTTTATCGAGAATATATATCTTAACCAGTTGAGTTTTCCGTAGGTTGGTACCCCAAATTTGTTGTACTAAAAAAATTGTTAAAAGAATGAATAGCTCGATTTCAATATGTATATTAGTGTACTAACGCGAGCATTTACTAGTGCAACATAGATTGGTTGGGGCGAGTACTAAATGAGCTAATATATTAAATCATAGAATAATATAGCAAATCTCCAACCCAAACACAACTCAGTGGACAAGAAGTACCTATTACTCTCATGAGATCAAATGTTCAATCTCCCACCGTCTATATATTTGTTATAATATATATATATATAATATAAACTAAAATATTTATTTTTTAAAAAATATTCGGGACGAAAACATACCTTTCAAATGTTTATGAACTTGTAGTTAGTTAAAAAAAATCAGATAATAAAATAAACCCTTTAAGAATATAAATCAAAATAAACAAATATGATATTCACAAATCCAAATAAGAGTTAGACCTAGAAATTTACCAAAAGTTTTAAGTAAGAATTGAAAGAAAATATTTGAATATTTAAACTAACATAAAACAACTTTTAAAGCTACAAAGTTTTTCAATTAAAAAAAATTGAAAAAGGGGAAAGATCAATGAGAGAAAGAAGAAAATAAAAGAAACCTTAGAAATAAAAGACCAAAAACCTTAAAATTTGGAAGATCCGACCGTTTGTCGATACACAGCGTCACCACACCCGCCGCGTGTCGACATGTCGGCATGTCGGCTTCGACGATCCCTTCTCCAACCCATTGGATTTCCATTTCCCATTCCTCCATCTCACTCTCTACATGTGCCACCGATAACACTTATAATCTCTCTTTCTTTGTTTTCTTTTTAATAAAATATTCTAAATTCTAACTGGAATTACATATTTCATCGGTCGATAACTGTGTACTTTAGTTCTTGAACTTTAAAAAAGTTTCAACTATTGTTATTCGTTGATTCAGGAATCTGAATGAAGAGAAGAGTTGACTATTGATTTAAGGTAGACGTCCATAATCAGCTGAAGTGATAACCTACGAGTAGAATCTTGCACTGGTGTGGCGCTCGACCATATACACTCTGAAGCTTAAATTAACCTACTTAGTCTAAGCTGGTGTCGAACCAAGCTTAGTTAGGTCGCATAAAAATTGTCTTCGTGAGACATGAACCTCACCTAATTTTATAGGAATGTTTTGGGTAATATTGTTCTGTCATTTCGACACTCTATACCTGGTGTTCAATGAATTTTATGTCGATGATATTCGTGTTTTAAGGTCGATACTGAGTTGCTTGCCCAAATTGAAGTTCAGACACGTGTTCTTGGACAAATGGCCACGTGGCAGGCTAAGATGAGGTGGCAGGCTTT